TTATGACATAATTTATGAAGCACTACTAGCTACACGATGTCATCATTTATCCGACGTCGAAGCTTCCGATAAATAACAATGCCATAATCGGGAGCACTGGCTCTCGCCTAAGAGTATCTCGGTTTGCATGCTAGTCCAACTCACCAAAACCGTGTAAGCTCGCCAGTGGCAATCGGGCATGCCGCCTAGGGTCATTCCTGATCACCATGATACAGCGACGAGAACAATTAAAATCAAGAATAGAATACTAGTACCGCTATTATAATTAAACCAAAATTTCACTGAAACTCCCTCGATTGTCGTCATTTAGCTCTCAGGAATTATATCATTACAACCAGATAAGTTTGCAAAAGTAACTGAATAGACGTTTTGTTGTTGATGCTTCTGCTACATGACGAGATCCACGTTTGAAAAATCGACGAAATACAGCGTTCCTCCTTCTACGAGGTGGTCCCACCGTGTTACTGACACGAGCGAAAACATGGTCTACCACTTGCAAAGCGCTAGAGAGTGTCATCGAAAATTTCAGAGCTCCTCCTCGCGCGCGGTATTGTATATGTATTGAGTCATGTTCAAAAGGATGCTTATAGGTTGAGATTCGAGTCGGCATTAAATGCTTTTCGCTATCATGCTGTGCTGCACAGTGCCAACGTCAACGCGATCCGGTAGTCCTACCGAAGCAACGAAGCAGCGCTCTGCTGCTACAACGTAGCCTATGTGCAGTGTTAACTCACGGGTTGCGACGCTGCGCTAATTATCAGGATCCCGATTCTTCCGGTCGGATTCACACGCCGCGCGATCTTCTTTAAAAAAAAACTACAACTTCAACAAAGTCGCGCGTCGTAGGGAACTCCCGCTTCGGCAATATCCACAACAACGCGATTCCTAACGAATTTCGTTGGGCTTCCTGTCAGAAACCCTGGGAAATATCAGTGATATCCTAGATAGCTACGATCGTTTTTGCTGGCTAAAGTGATGACACGCATTTGTAGCCTAAGACGTCATGAAGCAATGCTCGACCACCGTCCACCTGCATTACCAGTCGAATAAAGAAGCTTTCTTACTACTAGTACGCTTTTCTCTTTCTTGTACTAGTACTACGACAGTAGTATCCGAGTCTCCCGATGGTTTTTTGGGACTCAGAGTTGAAAACAAACAACAAGAAGACTAAACAGAATTCCGAATACAACACAAGGCAATGTATTTCCTTTTAAGGTATTAGAATACCACAAAAACTATGATATATCGATACTACCAAGCTGCGCTGCTTCAAACGCTGCTGCGGCTCGGTTTCGGCTTAGTTGGTGCTGTTGTTGCGGATGTAGTACGGCTCATTCATGAACTCCTCCTCACAGTACGGGAACAGGGTGTCATCATCCGACGGCGCGAACAGGTGCTCACCAGCGTGGATCATGACATAGCAACCCGTGAAGGCACACACCACAATACAGATAATCGACGCGCCCTTGTCGAAGATCGTCATGCTCTTCCAGGACACGCGCATGTAGATGATCAGCGGCATCAACAGACAGCTCGTCGTGTGGGCAGTAGCACCCGTGAAGTCCTGCAGGTCGAGGAAACGCTTGCGCGCGAGCACGGCAATAACCACCAAGATCGCAATGATGCAAATGCGAAGAGCCATGTAGCGCAGAGGGTTCTTGCGGTACGGCTCGTTGAGCTGCTCCTCCGTGATCTCCTCGCCGAACTCCAGAGCGACGCGCAGGTGCGACATACGGCCCTCCGCCTTCTCAACCAGGCTCGAAGCAGACACCTGACGGTTAGCCGGGTCCATGGGGGTCGAGCTCTGCATGTACGAACGCTTCTCCTGGATCTCCATGTCAAGGTCCACGTTGGCCTGGTCGTGCTCACCGTTGAAGCGGACGATCTCGGGGCTCTGGTGCATTCCCAGAACCAGACGCTCAGCCATGAAGAACGGGGGCATCATCAGGGTCGAGAAAGCGATCGAAATGTGCATTTGCATGAACAGGTAGGCCATCACCACGGCACCACGGTCGGCGGTGAAGCCCAGAGGGGCCAAGCCAAGCGGGTCCGACGTACTCACGATCGAGTACAGGATGTTGCCGGAGAGCTGGCAGCCGCCGGCCGTGTAACCAGCAAGGGCGATCGCCACGAAGAAGCCCGAAATAAACAAGATCGTGATCACCACCACACGAGGCATGCGCTGCGGCTCCGAGTGCTCGCGCTGCAGGTCGGGCACCACAATAGCAGCACCGTACGCCAGAGCAAGGTTACCGAAGCAGGTCAAAACCTGGTGAGCCGTGATATCGGGCGACGGGATGGAGCCGTGGCCGCGCATGTTCCACTGCAGCACAATAACGGCGATGATGTCGGCGACGATCGTGCCCATGCAACCGGCGAACGCCATACCAGCACTCTCCTTCAGCGTTGGGATGAGGCACACTGGCACCACCATGAGCGCCATGAAGATGATCCAGACAGTCTGGCTGAACGAGTCAGGGAACAGCACGTCCAGCAGAGTGCTGCCTAGCACCAGGAAGGCGCACGGCACCAGCAGACACACACCCATCTGAGAAACCACCGTGAAGAAGCGGCCCCACTTGCCCAGAGCCCACTCGCCCAGGTCACCGTACGTCTTCACAGACGACGGCGCCACCAGCATCACCTTGGACAACTTGAGAGTTGCGTAGGTGTTGGCGAAGATCATGAACGCTAAGGCAACCGACGCGTAAAACGGGCCGGCGCGGGCGTAGTTGGAAGGCATGGCCAGTGAACCGATACCACAGACGCAGCAGAAGAGGTTGAAAGACGCCTTGGCGTCTTCCATGGTGAAGAAAGCCGACTTGCCGTTGGATGTCGACATTGTAGAATGAACGAGACGAAGGAGAAGGTCGAGCGGGGCGATGCGAAAGTGTTGCTTGTGCTTGCTGGACTTCTCCGCGAGAAGAAATATTCCAAAGTGAGTGAGCTAAGCGAGCTCGCGAGGTGACCAAAACGAAGAGCGATTCAACCATTTCTCTCTTCGGGTCCGCCGCTGCAGACTTGCCTTTCTCGCGCAGGACATTGGTTGAGCTTTCCCGAACAGAGTCGATGCGCTTGACGGCTCTTTTGTTGTAGCAAGCATACTGGATGCAAGTATTCGTGCAAAGCAGTTACTTCGCTGTGCAAGAGTGCACCATTATCGGCTTAACTTGGCTGCACCAGTGCTAGGGATTAGAAGCGGCTGAGTTTCTTCGCTACAAAACTCATGTCCCTGCTGCAACAAGTTGCTGTTGCAGCAGAGCAGAGCAGAGACTTGCTGACGAAGATACGGAGCACCACATGCAGGCAAAGCAGTGAAAACCCGTACAGTTCATCCGGATGTGCGTTTGTATGTATTTCATGAAGTATTTCAAGACGTGTATTAAAATATTTAATCAAGAATAGGTCTGATCTTACAGTTTAATACCTTAAGGCATTAAACAGTTCCAACTGTTCCGTACACAAAGGCGATGGGCGCATGTATTAATACAGCCGCCCTAGATGGGCCTGCCACCTCGCATGTTATTAAAAATAACTGAAGGAGGAAGGATGCGCGGCACCATTTCACCCGAGACGGAGCGCCGCCCATCCCCTGTGCAGCAATTCGCAGGGTTCCGGTGCATGATACACACTGTATCATACTGTACACTATTGTACATGAGCTCAAACTGCGATTTCCCGGAACCCGAGTTCACTCCATAGTATCCATAGTATGGGAACTCCCCGGAGAAGCATCCCCATATCCGGTCCGCGACTAGAATGTGTATACGAGGATACCTTGCTGCGATCCCATTCCATATTGTCACGACGAGCATCGCGTCACCGGAAAGGAACTGGTTTCTGCTCGTGTTAATAATTATTTTTAGTAAATGAATTAATTTTTGGTGCACAGCACGGACATATTGTATTACGTGACAGCGAAGCCTAAAAAGGGTGAGCGCGTACGACAACGTGCATTTATGTGCATGTACACCTTTTTACATACATGTATACCAAACGCACACTACATTATGTGATGTATACACAGTTGTAGACATCCTGGATATGAATGTCCTGACCAGGCACCAAAGAATCGTGCTCTACATGTACCTTGTAGTGCAGGCTGTACAACACGCGATGCCAAAGGGAATTGCAATGGTGCTGCAGATCACGACAACTCGGCACTTCGGCAATTATTTTCCTGCCAGCCTTGAGTTATCTTTTGGCTAATATTTAATGTGAAGTCATACATGTACCTGTGGATTTAACATGGTGACCTTACATCTTAGATCCTGCAATGTAGGCCTAACAGCATACTTATAACTTGGATTCCAGTTACATTTAGATTAGCTACAGTATCTAAACTTCAGCTGATCAAGTCGGCAAGCCTACCTTAAATTCAGTTTACCTGTTTGTGTCAGTTTTTTTTTTTTAAATAAAAGCTGATAGTAGTAGCAAAGTGTTTTTTTTTAATAAAAGCTGATAAGTCGGAACAGACGACGATAATGTACTGTTTTATTTGTTTTATTAGAAGCAAATAGATGAACAACAATTTCACACCGGATCGACAAAATTTTGACAATTGCTATAGACGCTCACTCGACCAATAATTCTGCTTGAATATAAATTAATTTTAGAATGATTTTTTGATTCAAGTAAAATCGAAAAAAAAACAATCAAAGGTAAAAAGCGTATTGTCCATTTCTACAACAAACTATTTGCATCAAGTCATTTTACGGCATACATTTCCGCTTTCGTCTAAATCGCAATTGGCATCATTACAAAATGTACCCTCTATTTACTGTTAATTCAAGACTAGTATGTATTCCTCTCCTTATAGACCGAACGCGTCGATAGGTGTATATCTGTAAATGTTAATCAGCTGATGCAGTTGGGCGCTGCCTCATCTAATTAACCATCTTGGAGGCGCTGCTTGACCAAGCAGGCCAGAGCTGGTATATCTATATGAAGTTCAAGCGGAATGATCAGGTAAACGAAGGCACTCTGAGGGATGTGTATATATACCGACCGAGGTTCAGTAATAGCAAACCTCTGGGCAGTGAGGAAGTCCAAGAGGGCAACAGCCTGGTGTTCACATAGATCGTATTATTTATCAGTTTACGATGATCGAAAAGCTCCTGTCCCTTTTGTCAATAAGTCACAAAACAATTCGCAGCACAGCAATTCAAATCATTGAACACCCTATTCGCCATTCGGGGCGAATATTCAAGCGATGTATCTTTCACGAGAACGTTGGTGTTGTCGCTCGTGTCAAGACCAAAAATTCGGACTTCGCCACCTATCCCTCCAGTCACTCACCTGAAACTACGCCGGGCCGTATTGTGGGGCATCCTCCGTAGAGAATACTCCGCGCATTCTGCTAAAGAGGTCGGATCAAATCCTGAAATAGGAACTGAACCGGCTCAAATCCTTTAGTGTGTAGGGAGAAGGTAGCTACCACGTGTCTTTCGATTTTTCAGCCAAAGCAACAGTAACAGCGATGATCCCTTCAATTGCGACAACATTGCCGGCAATAGGACAACTTCGGTGGATCGTGTTCTAGTTGGCGAGTTTCTTGGTCAAACGTGTATGGCCTGGGAAGATATGTACGCGTTTTTTTTTTCAAGTAGATGGCTGACCGGTTCGACAGTAATTCGCGGCTTTGCGCAGCTGAGATTGGATATAATGTCATTGCAATATCGCGGTAATACCAATTACGATTCTTTATCCTCGATGTATCTGATAATGGATAGGTGTGCCCGACGGTAACGACCAGGACTCTCGATCTTAAAGCCACAAAACTTACGCTCCGCGCACATCTTTTTTTTGTTATAGCGTGTTGGGTGGATAGCCCAACTCTGATTTGAAACCACCGCGTATAGAGTTTGTGGGTAGGTTAGGTTAAAATGTTAGCAGATTCCACCTGTTCGTACACCTTGGAACGCTTGACAGACTGGACGTTTAATACAGGCTCGACAGTCTGGATAATACTGTGAACCATTTTTTCTTCAACATGTTATGTTGTTGTCAAGATATGTGTCTGCTATGCATCGAAGAGCTTATCACTGTCAACGCGGTGGAAGTCACGCCCTTACTGACCACAGAAGGCTTACGCTCTCGAATTTGTTTCCGTGTAATCGGTACGGCAGCCTCGACAAGCTCTCAACGATCCGGAAGAAAGAAGCTGGATATGCCCCTGTGTAGTTCAAACCTGATCCAGTATACTCAGTGAAGATAGAGTGAAGGAGTCCGACGTTTTGTGGAAATGCGTGAGTGTCATCAACACGGTAAGTTGGAACATCTGCGGGCTAAGTGTGCAAACCGAGTCCGGGGACTCGACAGCGTGTCTGACCTTACGCTCGCCGTGAAGGAGACGTCGGGTCCGATGGGCGAGATGTGGATCCCCCAGTGAGCAACGTGTCATGGCTGAAAGAGGTCGGAAATGCGAGAACAAGTGTGCCCAGCTGAACGACGCGGCGCTGAAGGTCACGAGGGGGTGAGCTGGAACTCATGGTCACCGCGTGCGGCGGTAAACAAAAGCTGAAGTCAACGGAGAAGTTTAACGCCGAGTGCGTACCGGGGTCGGCGTAGAATTACAGAGGAACATGCTGGCGGTAGGGTGCATCAAGAGGCGGCAGAATCGGAAGTGGTTACGGCGGCTCTGGCTGAGGATGCCGAATGGCCCGCCGAAGAGACGACGGACATACAGCGAGGCACGTTGGAGAACCTCCACCGTAGACTTGGTCACCTGAGCTACGATACTGGGGACAAACTCGCATTGGATCCGAGCATGGGATTGTGTTTACGAGTCAAAGACAAGTATATTGTTTGCTTTGCGTGGAAGGTAAGCAAACAAAGTGCAAACAGTTCGGGAAACCCCGGTGAATATGCGGCAATAGATCGCTTTGCTGGCATGATATGATCAGATCGCAAGGGGTCCATGACACTGAGAGACCAACTGAGCAGTGGATATTAATATGGTGGTCCATTAAACGAATTACCGTAGCGTCTTTCGAGCGAACTAAGAACGTGGAGACGAGGAATTTTGAGTACTTCCTGGCGCTCATCGAAAACAAATTCAGTTGTAGGATCCATGTGTTGCGCACGGACTTCGGTGATGTGTAATTGTCTGGAAAGAGCACTAGCGTCGCACGCCAAAGTAGCGATACTCGAAACCAAGCAAGGGGCGGGAAAGCAAAGCGAATGATTTGGAACATAATGAATATGGTCAGATGCGTGGTGTTTGCTTGTGGATGTCACTACGTATTTCGCGGGACGCAGCCCAATACACGACCTACATACTGAAGCGATCGCGGGCAAGTGCCAAACAAGAGCGTGCATCTCCAATGAAGATGTTGAGGAGAGGAAGAATACCCTGTCGGTGAGCAAGATCGTGGTCTTGGGCTCACCGTGCACAGTCTATAGAGGACCACGTAAGAACACACGTTGTGTAACGAGCGCATTAAGGAATGATCGTCGGTGCGATGAAGGAGACGAAAGGATTCAGAGTGTACCTGCCTAAGCGTGAGGTCGTGGTGACGGTGCAGCATGTTAAGACACTAAAAAAAGAGCAGAGTGAGGACGGACGTTACCTGGAAGATGAACGGCCAAGACCGAAGACACAGAACAACCGTTTACGGAAGGGAATGACCTTTGCCTGTCGAGCGCACAACGAGTCGTGCATGTGAGACGGCTACGAACAGTGATGGTGCTGTGAAGCGAGAGTGGCGAAACACGGTTAAGGGTTGGATACTGATGCAGAAACCGCGAGTTAACGCAAGAATCAGCAAGCAAGAATTAAAAAGAAATATTGGACGAGAAAGTATCCGGTGGTGCGTCAGTTGGACGGAAGTCGGATGGAGGAAACGTAGCTGGTAGACAGCAGAAGAGACTAGATCGGACGTCGTTGCGGTTGAAGTGGATCCGAAAAACTATCGCGAGGCGGTGGGAGCAAGCAGACCCAAAAGAATTGAGGAGCAGGAACGATTTATTAAGCTGGACATCTGGAAAATCGTGCGTTTGCCGACAGGGACGCGCACCTTGCAGGGAAGTGGGTCTTTAATACCAAACGTATTGCTGAGGGCACTATCGATCCCCGATCAACGAGCGGCTCGTTGCTTGTGGCAACTTTTACATATTCGACGTAAACTACAGTGTGACGGTCGCGGTGAGGATCGACTTGTCCAATGTCAAGCTTACCGTAGTGTTGGCGAGGAAATGGGGCGCGCGGGGAATCTACGGTGACGAGCCCAACGTATATGTCAAAGCTGAGAAGCGAAAGGACCTGGACATCTGTATGCACATCCAACAGGGTATGGAGATCACAGAAAAATGATCAAGTAACTGGGCATTGGTAAGGGTGACGAGGTGGAGCTAGATTTTAGAAGATTTTGTATGACCTGAAACAGGCGGGTATGCTATGGAGCAAGCTGCTGCACCGCAAGCGCAACGACGTTGGCTTTGCGCAGAACATGACGGACACGGGTGTATACTGCCGACGTGATGGAGCCAAAATACAGGCGGTTGGTTTGTACATTGACGATCTGCTCGTCAATGGGATGGAGCAGACCGGATTATATGCGTTCTTCGGTGATTTGCCGGACCTGTGTGCGAAGGACTTGGGCAAAGCGACCAAATTTCTAGGTGTGTGTATTTGGTATGACGATGTTTGTGGACGAAGATGACGATAGAAGCGTTTCTCAAGGGGTATGAAATGAAGTGTGCACACAAGATGCGTGCACCAAAAGATGAGAAGTGCAATGAGCGCGAGGCTTGAGAATAGAAGATCTTGCCCGTGAGAGGTACTGAGGATGCGATTGCTGTGAAGCAATTTCAACCATTGGAGAGTTTACTGTGGGTCGCGCGCTGCACGAGGTCTGACATTATCAGTGGGGCTTATTAGGCGCTGACGTGCGTGAATTTCAACGCCTTATGAACCACAACGACACAGTGTCGGACTGGAAGCGAGTACTGAGGTACCTTGCTGGAACCAAAGGGTTGGGCCTGCAAATGGGGGAGGGCGAGTGTGTATATATATATGGGGGGGGGGGGAAGCGCCAGTTGGCTTTTGCGAACAAGAATCTGATTGATGGGAAGTGACCCGATCCAGCCCTGAGACTCCTGGTCGACGACGGTGCGTCAGTGATTACATCATCATCATCGATGAAAATTACGCAATCATCGGAGTAAATCGACATGGAGCAATCATTTCGATACGCGATCGGCCCTCAAGGATACGATCCACTGTTGACACATCAACTGATTTATACCCACAGTAAGTACCACGCGACCAGGCTACAGAGGGGATAGAAAGGACATCATAGGATGGGCAGAAGGTATTGGACCGCTAGGGGGAAAACTAAGGAGGACCCTCCAGCTGGGAGGGCCCTCACAAAAAAAGCTACTTGTTGCAAAAAATAGAACGAACCGTCGGCAACGGTAAATCCAATTTTTGGCGTTGCCGACGAGAGCTACAGCAAATATAGTTTTCAATTTCGG